CCCCTCCACCCTTTACTCCCCCCTCCTCTCCAGCCCTTCCCATGCGGGGTGCTGCGTGCCGCGGCTGTGGACCCCCCGGGCGCGCTGGAATGGAGCATGTCGCGCATGTCGCGGCGGGGGCGGGGCGAGGCAGCGAGGCGCCGGCCGGGGCGTCCTCGGGCACTAATGATCGACCCCCGGGGACGACAAGCCCCACGTCCCGCACGTCCGCGGGTTATTAAATTGTGGAGGTCCAGCTGACACGGTGACGTTCCGAGCGCCACTCGCACGGCACAAACACCCCCCCCCCCCGGCTTCCATTGATTCAAGATTCAAATGTATTCGCTACCCGCCGCCGTGGCACGACTACCTCTGCCAGGTGCGCCAGAGAGGGCAGCCTCGTCGCCGTCCTGGGCGCGGCGGCAGTCCGGTGCGACGGGGTCTCTTTGAACGGCTGTGGGTCGTCGTCGAACGGTGACAGCGGCGTGCTCCCGCCGTCGCCCACGTCCTCCAGATAGACGTACATCTCGTCCAGGGAGTCCACCAGACCGCACACCACGAGCTACGCACAGAGGCCGCGGGTGAGTCCTCGGGAGGGTTCACGGCGTCCGAGGACGGTGTCGCGCCTCCCGCCCGAGGCCCCTCCGTACTCTGTGCAGAAGCCGGCGCCGCGCCAACTCCGGGTCTGCCTCGAGGTTCGCTGCCGCCCCCGGAGCAACGCCCCCTAGCAGCGGGACGGAGTCGTGGAGCATCGTGCTCGGAATTTGGTTCGCAACTTGAGTTTTCAAAATACGCGAGGGGCCTGCCCGCGCACTGCGGCACGTCGACGACGACCTCCAGGCGGCCGCGTTCAACCAACACTGATGGGGTGGCAACCGACCCGCGGAGGCCCAGGACGGTTAGGACGGGGCCCCGAAGGGATGAGAAATGGCCACGCCCCCTGCTGACGGCGCGGGCCCCGCGGCCCTGGACAGGGCTGACGTGTCAGTCACGCATCGTTCACCCCGCCCGAGTAACACGACAACAAAAGCACCATACGATGTCCAATTGTTTGCGAACGACATTCGCGTAAAAATGACCACTTGCTGGTCGATATATTGACTCGAAGCCCTAGCTTGTACAATGTACAGGGTAACCGCCTAGCCCGCACGCAGCCGCGTGGACGGGTTGCCTAGGCGCTCCGGGCCATCAGGCGCCACGCTTATAGTGACGAAGGGCGCACTCCTGCACTCGCTACAACGGGGCTGCACGGCCACCCATAGGATGAGTGAGGGTCGCTGTCTCTTTAGACCACGGGCTGGGTGAGAAGGAGCTCCGAGAGAATTGCGTCCTGGGGCCTGGAGTGGCATCCGGAGCCTTTGGCGGCTGCTCTGCCAGGTGTGGCCCACAGTGGGCTGAGGTCAACGCCAGGCGCCGCCGCACCTCCCGCGCGTGGGCGGCTACGTCAAGTGGTGCTGCTCCGCCAGCGGCTCGGCGCTGCGCAGCGGAGCAGCTGCTCACCACCATCACCAAGCAGTCCCGGATGGACTCACCACTTTGATGTTGAAAATGGAGGGAAGATGTTTGACGACGTTCACGGTCTTGCGCACAAAGACGTCCACGCCGTCGGCGACCTGCTGGGCCTTGGTCTGACGGCCGCTGCCGTACTCTCCGCCGCGGCGGTAGCCGTCGTCGTCACGGCGGTAGCCGCCGAGGCCCGCGCCGCGCCGGGAGCCGCCGTAGGGGTAGTCGCACGACATGGCGAAGCAGGTCCAGCCGGTCTAGGACGCGCGGCAGCCGGCGGTCAGCGGAGGTTGAGCAGGGCGACGGCGAGGGGTTGACGTCCGCGGCCGGACCACGGGGCTGTCGCGGTGTCGGCGCACTGACACAAAACAGGCCGTCGTCGTTCACTGAGAGTTCAGTAACGGTCGGACGCGGGGACTCTGAGGACGAGGCGGCATCGTCCTCGATGCTTGTCCGGGCGGAGAATGGAGAGCTGGACCGACCGAGCGCCGTGCCCGCAGAGCGTGGCGGGGCAGGGCGGGGCGGGGCGGGAAAGGTGAGCGCGGCGGCCCCGAAGGCCGGTCCGCCCACATGGCACCGCTCCCCACCAACGACGCCCGTGTTCCCCATTCCCCGCCCGAAAAATGTAATTGTTGTGGGCAAATTTATCAAAGAGAGGAGCAGGAGGAGAACAGCGAGCACGAGTGTTATCTGATGTGTCAGAGATCGGAAGTGGTGCGTCCACCGGAAGTCTGCGCATCTTCAGGCTGGGTGAGCCGAGCCGGCCTATGTATCGTCAAGGGGCGAGAGCGCGCGGGACGCCGAGCCACCCCACCCCGGGCCAAAGCGCGCTGCTCCCAGACGTCCTGGCAGAGACCACCGCGGCGGCTACCGCGCAGCGCCACCGTGCCACGCCCAGGAGGAGCATGACATCACCCCACTGACCCAAACTTTTGTCCCCCCACCCCCGGCGCTCCGTCTCTTTCCGTCCTCGCGTTACTTTCCCACGGTGATCGACTCGACCACGAAGACGGGCGCGGGCCCATACACCGAGATACCCCCCGGTGAGGTATACGCTCGGGTCACGTGACGGTGGCGCTAGTCCGGCTACTCACGGCGAACGGCAGGAGGGCGGGGTTGCTGATGCTGGGGTCCCTCGTCTTCGGCAGCAGCCTGTTGATGAAGTGGTACGCTCCCTTGGTCTTCCCCACGATGTCGCCGAAGCTCATGGGTGGCCTGGGCCTACCGAAAAGAAGGAAAAGGGTGTGTTGGAAATTGTGCTCTTTGGAGAAGAGGGCATTTAAGTAAAAGGGTAATAATTATTAAACATGGCCTCACACTTACTTCTGAGGTGGTTTGGGCCTGGGCCTGAAGTAGCGGTCCTTGATGCTGCCCCAGTCGCTGTAGCGGCCGCCGCCGAAGCCGCCGAGCCCGGCCAGCCCCGCCAGCCCACCGAGGCCTCCGAGGCCCCCGAGCTGGTCGGCCAGCCCCGCGAGGGGGTCGCGTCCGGTGTTGTCGTAGCCGCCGCGGGGCGGGGGGCGGGGCGGACCGCGGCCGCCGTCGCCCACCAGCTGGTTGAGGGTGCCGAGCGCGTCATTGAGCGCGTCGCCGAAGCTGCCGCCGCCGCCGCCTCCACCGCCGCCCCGGAGAAAGAAGGACATGGTGGCCACCGATGGCCGCCCGTCTGGACCTGAACCTGCAATAGCAATAAGGGCATTTGTGGGCTGAACAAAAACTACGGTAGCGTTTGTAGGGAGGGCGCCGCACGCCCGGCTGCTGGTCGGGAAGCAGCAGGTGACCTTTGAGAAAAGGTTGGCCCACGTCCGGCGCTGTCGGGGTGCGTGAGTGAGAGGGGCGGGAATGGCGACAGAGAGGAGCT